ATGAAATATAATATCTCCCTTTCGCTTATACTTGACCAGCGATAAAGAGAACATATCGACGTCTTGCAAGTTGTCGTTATAATACCTACACGAGCGTCTAATAAATGAGTTTCTGGCGTAATTTGTAGAACATGGGTAACAATAAAAAGATTTTTTGGAACGTACAATATAATGAACATATTCTGAATTTGGCATGCCTAGGTTTTTTATATAATACTAAGTGATGGGACGAACAAGCCGTGTGATTGGTGGTAAGCGATACGCCTGTCCCTAACAGTTGCAGTGCCACTTAGAGTTTTAAATCACAAAGATCTGAGGGTCACTGCCACTGTGCCTGACATCCTAAGACATAAGTTGATAAGTCCCATGTACCTGTAAATTTAATGCCTAATTAATTAGTAATTTTAATAGTTATCATAATACTTCCCATTTATTCACGTTTTCTGAGTATTTTTATTCGATTTAACCCTGCAGAGCTTTCTGTCGTAAATTATAAGCTAAGGTCGCCTGCGAGAAAAAAAACATTTTCAATTTCCACATAGCCCTCTGTGAGCGTGGACAAATTTTCGCTGAATGTACGCGAAAATATTACAACTAGGAAGAAAATTTACTACTAATGGCCCACTATAATGGTTGGATTGGAGATGTTCAAGGTTGAATCAATATCACGAACTAAACGCGTTAGTGAATTCACAATATCTCTATTTTCGAGGTTACACGACTGACGACTGTGATAAAATGAATTAATATTCGCAGTCGACGAGAAAAATGTACTCGTAAAGCAGGATATGTTGTGTAACATCTAGGTTCGGTTATATTGCGACTAATGGAGCATCTTCGCAGATTTATTGCGTGAAACTCGACGGTATATATTTTGCTAACATGAGAACTCACTGGTTGACAGCAAGAATAAATCGCTATCCTAAAAATCGTAACTTTAAAGCAAGCCTCTCACTTACTGCTGATGCAAGTTTGTGTAGAATGTTATAATTGTTTTTTTATGTCGACCCAGTTATGTGCAAAAAATAATAACGTGTATTTTCCAAATTACAGAAAATATTTATTTATAACTCACTCTCATGCTTTCACAATTTCTTTTTATTTTTGAAATGGACCAAGGTCCAAAAACAGGTCGGCAACAGTCCCGAAATTGGGACTTCCTGGAGCGTACTTGTCATGTGACTGAATAAAATGATTCGCCTAAAAGAGGGACGCTATATTCGCAAATGGACTCCTTATAGACGACATCCTGTCTTGATTTTGTTGATACATTAACAGTGACAATTTAGTAACCCACTTTAAATTTTATTATATTATTGCTGTATAGTTCACTACGTTTGGTTATCTTCCGTACTATGTAAGAGCTTTTATTGAGTACCAGTCAAAGAGTTTCAATGTTTGCGCATATCTGTTTTTGCTCTTATCAAGTTTGCCGTTGTTTTAATCGGTAGCCTTTTCCTATAACAGTGTTTCTGTCACAGACGTTAGGGCTTCAATATCATTCCTTACAACAACGATGGACGCATGGCATCTTTGTTTGGTCTGTGGACGCAACCAATAGTTTTATCAATTTTTTTTAATTTACATCCTCATCATAGAACTTGGTTGTGAAATTCTAATCTAAAAAAATATATTTTCCGGCAAAATTACAAATTACGTCCATCTGTCTTAAGGGAACGACATAGGGAGGCACCACACTTTATTAATGTCGAATCGGCTTGAGCCGGTCAAAAAGTTTTACGTTCATGCAATAAGAGCAAAAAAGACGTTGATCATTTCGCTTCTGCACAGAACGTCTTCTTCGCTGTTGTTTAATGGACAAAGCTTTTTCTGGCTGGTTTAACGCGATTCCGGTACGATCAGGCTGGTGACTCCCATATTCTTCAACATTATGTCCCTGAATAGTAATAATAATAATAATAATAACGCACACACTCAACATAGCCCCGAACTAGGGAAACCCTGAGTCGCGGGTGCCATGGACACACACATAGACAACCACAAATTACACCCAAACTCACGAGAGAAATAAATGTAGGTCATACAAATATTTCTCCCGGCCCGGGAATCGAACCTGGGGCCTCTGCGTGGTAACCGTTCGGCCACGGAGGCAGTTAAATACGTCCAGGGGGGAAATACTGCCACCTTACTTGTTTCTGCCGCCAAGCAGTAATGTGAGTAATGCTGGTAAAATTACAAGCACATGGAACTTGTCAACTTATATCTCTGGGTGATGGGCGCAGTGGCAGTGCCCCTCAGATCTTTACGATTTAAAGGTCTGAGCCGCACTGCAGATGTTATGGACAGGCATGTCGCTTACCACCAGGCCCACGATTTGTGCGTCCCGTGTCACATGGTATTATAAAAAAAAATTGAAATAGCAAGGGGTGGAACAAAAAACATTTATCTTATAATAGAACTGGCGTGCAATTCTTCGTCTTATCACTCCACACTCGTAGAAATCCATTTAGTTTCAATAGAACAGAGCAGAAGTATCTCTTGAATTGCACTCAGATGGATGATTTTGGATATACTGGACTTCAAAATATTTACATGCAAATAAACATATCAACGTCAAAACTACTTTGTTTATTTACTTGTTTTGTGTAGCAGTAGTAGAGCTCCCTGTGAAAGATAGTCCGGAGAAATATTAGCACCATACTCATTTCTGCCGCCAGGCAGTGATCTGAGCATTACTACGTTCCGGTTTTGAAGGGCAAGGGTGAAATTACAGGCACAGCGCAGTCTTGGCAGTGTAAGGCAGATCTTTGCGATTTAAAATTCTGAGTGGCACTGCAACTGTTATGGGTAGGCGTGTCGCTTACCGCCAAGCGCACAACTTATTCATTCCTTTACTTGATATCATAAAAAATGTTACAACGACTCGTGTTGGTTGTTAAAAGACATTAAAATCGATTCTGATTACGCGGAAGACGAATTTGAAATAATAAAAACCGTATACTCCGTACGTAGTTGTAAAGTATGTTATGTATTTCAGGCTTAAAGAACGAAAACGCTTATTAAGCTAAAAAAACATCCATAAATCGTATTGTGGTTTCTGTAAAAAAACTCCATTACCTACTCGTTATGCACTTAGGGAACACGTTGTGGCTATCTCAAAAAGCATAAGCTAACTTTGAGAACTCGTTATGCTTTTCCTTAATAACCATAACGCGTAGCGGTCAAGTGTCAGGAGAGTCGACGCGAATTTCATATTATGGTCTGTTTGAGTTAGTCACAACGTTTTCTGGCTATTTTTGTGAGTGCCATAACACGCATAACCTGTTATAGATCTTTTAAAGAGACCATAACGCGCAATGAAAAATGTCGTTCTTTGAGCCTAATTATGTATTTTCTTACTGCGTGTCAATGCGGAAGGGACCAATACAAGGACATCTTCCATTTCCTGACTTTTACGGCAAGAGAAATGAGTTCCGATGTCGTCAAGAATTCACTTTTTAATGTAACTCTTCCTTATGTTTAAAGCAATTTGTGGTCCGAAAATGCAATTAATAAAGCTTCTTCCGTTGCCTGCCAGTTTATTTATAGAAGCGTATAAGGGAAATAATCCAATATTGATTTTAACTTATTAGTTTCTGTAACTGAAAGAACTCCCTATGTGAAACGTCGTTGATCGAGAAGTGAACGAAGATAATCGAGAGGCGAGAGGGCGTTTCAAAGATTCCGCTGAGGAACTGACCTGGCGCTATATCAGTTGGTGTCGGGTGTAGGTAGTCGGGGTTGTTCGCGTTTTCTCTGTAAACAGATTGTCGACCTACTTTCCAGCATTGTTGTGCGCACGCGGCGCTTAGCCAAATCTATTTTAATTTTTATCTACGTGGCTGAACTCGCGCAGTCTGCTTGATCTCAATTTTTGCAATGTTTACACGTGCCCCGAATCGCAGACCCCGAAGCTTGTAAAGCAGCAACATTCACAAAACAACAGCTGAAGTCGAAAACAAAAACATTTTTATTCATACCTATTGCCTACTAGGACTGGCTAAAATAGCCCCGCGCGGTCCACGTACTTTCCGTAGTAATAAAAACTAAAATTACTTCAATAAACTCGCCTCATTACTAAATAAATTATGGACTGACGATAGATTAGGTTTTGATTGGACAGATACAAATTTACAATATTGCGTAATCAAATCGCAGGTAATCTGATCAAAGGAAAAGGAAGTAACGAGTAACACTGCTTTCGTTATACGTAACTAATAATATTCTCGCCTTAGATACAGCCGATGCGTAGATCGTGCACTAAACATTATTTGCCTATAGCTCTGCTCGGTTTAGGCGGTTTCCGGCAGGTTGGATCGTTGCCCAATTCCTTTAAAATTTGCGTCAAATCCATTTTCGCTCCAGCTACTTTTGGCTGTAGCAATAAAAATATAGCACATGTTGCCATATGAATTGTAGATTATTAATTCGGACGCTTAACAACCGTTTCTGTCACTTGCTTTTTTATTTTTACTCTGTTTATTATTTGGGTTGAGAGGTCTTACTAATCGGGTCACGCAATAATCCACCACGCCGGCCCAATGCTAGCGGGAACTTCACAAGTCGTTGAAAGGTTTTCTGAATTATCTTCCACGTATAGTAAGAATTGAATGGTGTAGATCTCCTTGAAGAAATCGAATACAAAGCCTCCTTAACGGACACCAGTATTCTCGCAACAAGGCTATCATCGTTTATTTGAAACTATATTAGAGCTATAATATAACTTTTAATGGTTTTTATGCACAGTCTTTGTAGTATTCCGAGTAGAACCTACGATGTTACTCAACTTTTAAGAGCAAACATTTCTCCAATCCTTGTTGTATGGCTATTTATTGTTGTATATGAAAATCACGTTGACCGAACGAGATAGACACGAGGCACAGCTCAAGGTATGAAGTGCTATACCGAAAATAAGTTGCCTTGAAAAAATTTGCATTTTGCTGTTTACTATAGTAAGTCAAGAGAGGAACAAAATTAGCAAACTTTCTCTTTCATTTCAGGTAATACAGGCTTGCATCGTTCCGTGTGCTCCGTCCGGTAATTTCCGCGGGCCGTAATTTGAATTCTGAGATTGCATCTTTCGCCCATCAGTCTGCAAAATCCCAAGGTACATCCTTATAGCATGTATTATATTAGCCACATAAAAATTTATTTGATGGAAATATTATAGATATCTATAATATATAGTAATGTGCGTCCATGACTCGTTTCTGGAAATCATGTTGAAAGCATGTGGTTTCTGTATTGCGCTGAAAATCTTCTGAACTAATCAATCGACACGCTCACTAATGTAGTAAGAGTTTAGACAGTAATTTATCTTTGTTCTCCTAAATGTTTGTGCTAGTATTCAGATGTATATTCCTATTAGCGGGTTGTCTCCCGCTGCGGTATTCAGTGCCAAAGTTTCATAGAGTGTGCTATTTTCGTGCAAGAATACTGCTGACGCACGCGATCGGTCAAAGCTCCTGGGTACGACGATCACATGGCAGGTGTATATTATGTTGCTTATTTCTGGATTTTTATAGTTCATGCCATTAGAGAAATTTATCTTTATAACGTTGCAAAATGTTAGCAGGAAGCGGTAGGATCTGTAGAGTTCAACAGCTTTGTTTTTAGTAATTGAACTCAGTGTTAGAACTCATGTTCAGTATCGTTTTTTTAATGCAAAATAGACGCATGCATGTTATTTGAAAAGCCCCAAATTCTAAGTTTACAAGCAGTAACAATGCACTGCATTCAAAGACACTCTTTTGGTCACGATCTCATTTGATTGATTTTAAGCGTCGTTGTGACCGGCGACGATGGCATACGTTTGTCTAACAATGCCTATACACTCTAGCCTTAAAATAGCATAAAAAATCAGAGTTTTTGGCACCAGAGGCTGACATCTGCGATCACACACTTCACTCAACGCGCCTTAAGTGAATGAAACTAATGGTATTGTAAAAAGTTGACGTTACCATCGCAAGACTGCCTATTAGTAATGTTCTAACGAGCAGCCCGAAGCCTTGCAATTTGTGCGGTAAATTATAAGCCGTTGGGAAAACGGGTGGTCAAGAATGAAACCGTTAAAGATGCCCTTTTCATTATGCACCCCAAAGGCATTCCTGAGCAACTATTATCTCTGACGTTGCAAACTAGAAATTAAATTTAAAAAGTTAAAACCAGACTGCGACCAAAAAGGCCTGCGCTTAAAAAGTGTAATACTAGAACGAAACCTTATGTAGTTTTGTTTAACTCATAATAAAATCTAAAGGTTCAATTTGTTGTTCACTTGAGGTTGTTTCCGGTTACGATTCAACATCGCTGAAAGATTGGAACCTCATCATCTACCCCTTATTCGTCTCATTACTCGGGTGGCCTCGAAACATAATAAAAGCATAGCACGCCACGTTTGCCCAGTGCTTTATGTCGAGATAGAAATATTATAACTTATGGGAGTCAAAATTAAATACCAGATTTTGCTCCGGTTTTAAACATTTTAAACAAACTACGACATCATACACGGATGAATGTAAGTCTGAAATAAATGGATTATTATTATTGTTATTATATTATGTTTGTCGTAATCGCTTTAGTTTTTAACTTTTATTTACAGTTACTTATTTAATTAGTAATAACTGGAATTTGATTTAAGAATGTTTTTTTAACACCCGCTCCTAACCACACCAAATAAATTATCGGTATTCTCACCCTTGAGTCAGTCGTATACAACAACAATAACGGCGTTCCTAAATTGTAATTTATTTTAAAAAATTTTGCCTTTTAAAATTTTTTTTAAGGAGATTCATGTTCATCAGCAGGATGTATAGAGGTTGATGATGTAGAATGTAATTTTTGTCTATACTATAAATAGGAGACGAGTATTTTTGAACAAAGTAGAGAAATTAAAACTTAGAAACGAAAAGTAATAGAACAGTAGTAAATCCAAAAAATATTGTAATATGCTAAATTTTGGTCTTTTAAAGCTGTTGAATTGACAGCTACCACCATAGAGATTAAAGACATAGTGATAGAGACCGATATTTTTTATATTTTAAACCGTAACTTTATGATATTCTACGAATCCCTTAAAAATCGAATCTATAACACGCGGCCTATAGAGAGAGATACCTTATACGTTGAAATTCGTGGAATTTGGGCTATAAAGTAACAAATTAACAGAGATACGTACAGGGTCAAGAGCACGTCAAGTTTGACAATTAAGATTAAATCCAACTCTGGGCCGCTTACGATAAGAACGGTCCAAAGTACAAAGTGTCAAGCTTGACGTGCTCTTGACTGTACTTGCACACGCTGCTAAAATATTTACCCTCCTTTTGAACTTCACCGTCTCGGGTAAAAACTAGGACAGCACAGGTCGGGTCTCATGAAACATCATGAATATGCGATCTAAGGAGTTCTTGTGAACTAGATAGTGGAGTTCTTCAACTGTTTAGTTGGGTAGAATTATGCAGTGGAATAATTGTGAAGCATAATTTGTCGTGTAATTGGTATACCGTACACCCTTGGCCATAGACGGGCTTGTTACATACATACATACATACTATACAATATGTCTACTTATTAAGAAGCTAACAGATGCTTGTTTGTAGGTGATGCGTGCAGTCTAGATTTCGCTAATCGGGGATAACAGATACGTGAATTTGTTGACAAATTAAAATGGAGGGTAGTGATAAAATGTTTATTTCCTTAATAGAAAATAAAGTCAGCACTTGGAGTCATAAATGTTCTGACTATGTTCTGACTACAGTGACAAGCTGCGAGTAAAGACGGCACTTCACATGGATACTTGTATTCGCCATTGGGTGTTTGATGTATACTTGGACCAATATTTGACGTACAGATAAACATTCGCACACTAACAAATATGACCGTCTATACATGGAGCCGAATAATGAGTTAAAATACTGAATATGATCATTGGACGGTTTACTTGCGTATTTGCCTATTTGGCTCCTTTGAGGTGCGTCGAGAAACTAACCAGCGTGTGGTAACGCGACTTTGGTATTTGCTGTATTTGTCGAATAGGCAAACAAAGCAAATACGTTTTTTTTTGTAGAATATTAAGTGACGGGACGAACAAGTCGTGTACCTGGTGGTAAGCTAACAATTGCAGTGCTACTCAGAGCTTTAATCGCAAAGATCTGAGGGGTACTGCCATTGCGCCCGTCACCCTGAGACACAAGTTGACAAGTCCCATGTGCCTGTAATTTCATCAGCACCCTTACCCTTCGAAACTGGAACGCAGCTCCTGAGCTGAGCGCGGGACGAAAACTGCTTACAGTTAGCATCCGATTGTATGAAGTTATATAAATATATCAGCTTCGCGCATCCAGAGCGTCTGTTAGAAGCCTTACTATATGACGCACATCAAAGGAGCCAAATAGGCAAATACGAAAGCAAACCGTCCACACTATGATCATATTCATTATTTTAAATCCTTATTTGGCTCCATGTGTAGACGGTCATATTTGCCAGTATGTGCGTATTTGTCTTTTATTCGGTATTTTTCTTAACCTATTATGTTACACATAAGAAATGAAACTATTTTTCGGGATTTAAATCGCATATATTGTTTTTTCAAACAAACCGACGTTTCGGACCCTTTACAGGTCCCATGGCCCAGTCAACCGTGACCAAACATACGTGAACAAATATACGCGATTTAAATCCGGAAAAATAGTTTCATTTCTTAAGTGTAACAATCGCGAAAACCTAAGAACTCTATTATGTTACACTTTTAGTATACCTTCCTTTGGAGTCAGCAGAATCTTCTTCTGATTTTGCAGTTAATTGACAAACCCTTCCTTTTGGGAGATGCTTATGGCCAATTATTGTATAATATTAATAACGGAGTGATATCGTCCTTCTCATCATTAGCGGCCGTATCTGTAATTTTTTTTTTTTTTTAATTTCGTCGTAACGTCACTGTTTGTTGTTTTAACCCTTCGTTTGCATTTCCTTTAGCAAATACATCACTGGCAACCATAATATCGTAATATTCGTCTTCTAAATTTGAAAGTGAGGCTTCTTAAATTCTCTGTTTAAACAGGAAACACCTTTGACAATATCATCTTTTTTGATTTTGCCCTACACGTATCATATTGAACATTCTAAATTCAAAATAAAACTTTTTCCACTTACTTTATCGTTGTTTTTAACCGACTTAAAAAAGGAGGAGGTTATACGTTCGGCTGTATGTATGTTTTTTTACGTATGTTTTCAGATATCTCCATCAATTGTGGACCGATTTTGAATTTTTTTTTGTTTGAAAGCATGCACCCTCGTGGTGGTGCCATGGTCACCAAGTCAGAATCTGATGAGGGATCCCATGAAATCGAAGGAAATCTTCAAATTTTGTGAGCATGTCCGTGTATTCACCAGTTTCTTCATCAATTGTGTACCGATTTTGAAAATTCTTCTTTTGTTTGAAAGTGTATACTCTCGAGGTGGTCCCTCGTTTCGGTTATCAAAAATTACTAATTGTTTGCCACAAATGAAAGTCGGTTTTTCACTTGACACAATATCTATCAACAAATATCACCAGATCACCGTCACCATGACAACCAGAAAAGAAAGTATAAAATGTACAAAGGAGTCCGTAACAGTCCCATTGTCACCAAGAAGTCAGAATCTGATGAGGGGATCCCATGGAAACCGATAAAAGTCGATAAGCAAACTATGAGGTCGGTTTTTTTTCAATGAAAAAATTATAATTATTTGTATATACAAATAGGTATAATAGAATAAAAAATAAAACAAGTGCTGAATAAAAAACTATTAAGCCAGAAAAGTTTACCTAATGTTAGTTACGTTAGATAGGCAGGAGAGGACGATGTGATTGTGATTGCCAGTTTCCATATTATCCATCAACTTTATAACTACGTATTTATGCACAAACTCCGTATAATTCAGAACTAGTTCCATTGATTACATTTATGACGGAGCGTAGCAAGTTTAATCCTAGCTCAGGAGTGGGAGGAACCTGTTGGGACAGGTGTGTTGACCCTTTGTGCTCCGGCCGCAACGGAAGGTGCGACCCACTAGTGGGCATTCAATTTTGCCCGCATAAATAAATCCCTTAATATCCCGTGTTTTTGTCGGTCTGCTTTCCCTTCAACGTTGTTCGTAACGGTTTTTTTAAATTAATCATTATCATTTAATTGATGAAAGTCACGCACTAGTGTTTTACCTGTCATGAAAAAAAAATGACAACCTGTCAGAATTCAGAACTATCGATTCTCTATTCAAGTGTTAAGTTTAACTTGAATTTTAACGTTCACATTTGAAATGAAACTTTTCTAAGATTTAAATCGCGTATATATGTATTTCAAACAAACGAACTGCCTTCTTGGCCGAACGGCTACCATGCTGGGCTACCATGCACAGGTCCCGGTTTCGATTCCCGCCCGGTCGGGAGAAAGATTTAATAATAATAATTTTTCATTCAAGACAACATAGGTCCACTTGTTAGTTTTACATAAACCTTAGGTACTATGTTAGTTTACAGTTCAATATTATGTAATAAAATAAATGGAAATGAAATAGAATACAATCAAAAATAAAACGAAACTTGAAATAAAATAACATTAAAAACTGACAATTGTAATATTAATCCGTACCTGAGAAGCATAACACTGTAACTCCATTTTTTACGATTTTGAGTTTTTAACGGTATCTTACATAATCTTTCGAGCTCTATCGATCCATAAAACTATGTCTACCCACTACGAAGCATTTTATTGTAAGTTACGAGTTACAGTGTTATGCTCAATTTTAGTACAGATACAGTATAATGTTATAAGATAACGAAAACAAAAACAGTATGTACAACCACGATTCGCCGGTGCATGATCAAGGAATACACCGCGAAATCTCCGAATTGAGGTTAGATAGTCTCGTTATCCTTACACAAATTCAAGAAAAATTTCAGTTTAAATAGGAAAAAGTTCCTCTGCGAAAAGTGGGTGAAATCCAATAAAACTGATTCATCAAGATAAAGACGAATCTAACGACGCCTCATATGTCAAGATCTATCAAGCCGTTTGGGCTGTACAGCGTGAAAAAGAAATGGACATACATACACTTGAAAAACATAACCGCAGTCGGGTAAAATCATAGTTGAATTGAGAACCTCCTCGTTTTTTTTGAAGTCGGTTTAAAAATAGATTCATTTCCAATATATAGCAATAGCAATCGCGAAAACCTAAGAACTCAATGTTAACTTCAAATTGTTCTACGAAATAACCCATACCTTCAAAATAGCTGTGGAATTTGAACAAGGCATAACAACAAGTAACAATTCGACACAGTGCCTTGTTCAAATAGCAATGTACATTCTTATCTTGTAACCACGATCACGACCTGAAACTTAATACTGGCTCGCCCATAAATACACCAAAATGCTTTATTGCATAATTGCAATAAGCAATTCCAATCAGGTGCAGAATTTACTCTCAATTACGTGTTAATAGTGATTTCTGATAGTATACTTTGATAGTCTATTATAGCACAGATATCATTAATGTATTTATTCAT